ATTGAACAGAAAAAGTAATTAAGACAAATGGTTCGCGACGACTTCTTTTGTGGATTTTTAATTACTTTTAAATGAAAAATACCGCAACGCCAGCTGAAAAATGTTGTATTACACCAGAAGCTACAACCGATTGATATTTGTTTAAAGAAAATAAGCAACAGACTCGCACAAATAAACGAATGAACTCTCATTGGAGGCGGCGGCATTTTAATTTTCACGTTAATTTGTGGTTATGTTTACGCTGTCAATATCGCATGTTATTCTAGCACATCAGCTCGCTTTTATATATACATCGGGTGACGTTAAAAGGATACTATTAATTTTTTTTCGATAACTTCCGCGTGATGCCGCAGAAGCGCGCGCGAGTTATTTTTAGAACGAGCCAAATTTCTAATTACGTCCTGTCGAGCGAGAGATTATGGTGCTAATTCGTACCTAGCGTCTTAAGTGCGTAATTTATAAATTTTGACGAGAAACAGACAGATTACGCCTCGCGTGCGCGCACGTTGTTTTATAAATACGCGGTTTCGATGCTTTAATGGAATCGAGTTTTAAACGCGAGCACTTGTGAAGCTAATTTTATACTCGAGTGCGTTTTAATGCGTACGAAAGCTTTGATCTGCACAAAATCGAAATTTCCAACAACCTATAAAGTAAATGTGACGTACCACAGGGACCCATATCAGGACCAATTTTGTTTGACTTAAACTTTGCAACACAATAACAATAATGATGACTAAAAGTTACTAAAAATTTGATAGAACAGTCTCTAGAAGGATTTCAAAAATTGGTCTCAAAAAGCGCGGGAACGGGAGGTATCACCGAAAGATACAAGATTAAGTTTATACATCTGGAAATATTTGCGTATTTGCGATAAGAAGTTCCGTTATCGCCGCTCGGGCTAATTAATTTGAAGATAAGCACGTGTTACCCGATAATTTGATAAGAAGAAATGGTTCGCAAAGTTTAAACGAAAGCGAAATTGTTTTAAATAGTAAACTACTGGTGGAAGTTGAATCGTAGCCGCTTATTGTTTTGGTGGATTTGAACATATTTGTTGCAATAACGTTTTAGAAGAAAGATAGTTCAGTGCTGCTGTAAGAAATTTTTATTACACCGTTTAAGTCGAATTAAAGTAGTAGTAGTACCTGTTAAACGGAGTTTTTCCACCATCAAAGAGCCAGTATTACATCTGAAATTACACTATCTAAGGCAAAATTTAAGTGCAAGCAATGAAGTTCTCAAAGTTGATTAATTAATTGTTTCAATCGATACCTTGTCGCGTGGGATTTGTACTTTGGCTCTGAGTCCCTTTCAGATTTTTGATTGATTTTGCCGAATAAATTTGTAAATGATCTATTATTTGTTTAATCGAGCCCAAATTAGGACCCAGAGTAGTTCTCATGCTAATTTTTTCTGTTGGTACTGGGTTACTCCAGGTGTTTTAGCACATAGCAATTTGCCTGCCTTGACCCTACAGAAGTAAGCCATTGTAGTGACTTTTGTAGTAATTTTTCTGGTGACAAATGTTAATGATTTTTATGAGTTATTCAAAAATCATTGTAATGACAGTCGGGCTTCAATTAATTTGCGTATTATGATCTACTATACAGGGTGTTAAGTAATGTCATTCGGATATTTCAGGGGACGATAGTACTCGTCAAAGTAAGAAAAAAATGCATGGTCGAAAGGGCGCCGTTTTCGTTATACAGGGTGGCAAACTTTCAATTTTTTTTCCCGTATTTTGCATGTTCTCTAGTAATTGTTTCAAATTTGTTACATCAGTTTTTTTAGGATCTCTGCAATGAAGTATCAAAAGAGTTGGTCGCAGTATACAGGGTGTTACATTTTTTTTTGCAACCCTATATAACGAACACGACGTCCTTTAGACCATGCATATATTTGCATTTTTTTAATTTTAACGAGTACGATTACCCTCTAAAATATCTGCACGGCGTTAATTAACACCCCGTATACAACAATTTCCCGAAAAAGTAGCACATTCGTTACATGGTCTCTGTGTAAAAGTATGGAATGTGTCGGAAGTTACCAAACATTGATTGAATCTTTTCAAAATATGCGCAGAATTTCTACATACTCTGCGGACCCTCTACATGATCCAGCAGTCGCCATCTTGGATTTTGAACAAAGATCGTGTGAAGGGATTCCCCAATGCAAGGTCGTGCTCTGGGATTTCCCAGTTACGTAACTGAGAAGTGCCCTGGAATTTTCTCGGCGAAAAAGTCGAAAGGTTACATAACTAAGAGGTGACCTTGTTTTATGATGCAAGGTCGCGCTCTGGGATTTCTCCGACGAAAAAGTCGTGAACTTAGTCATTTTCCTAACCTTGCGAGTGGTTCTGGTCTTGACTAAAGTAACATGGGTTCTTGTCCTAGCTTCGTGCGGAAATAATTCGCGCGGACTCGCGATTGCTCAAATATATTGGCGCTTTCACGGATTTATTGAATTAATTTTAATTATTTCTTTGGAATGAAAGTTTGTTTTTGATTAATTAATTTTACTACGCGATTTAATTTGAAATTCTGTGGTCGGAGTCAATTTGTTATGCAAAATTAGAATCGAAACTTTGGTTATAACGACCTTTTGAGCTCAGAAGGGCGCTTTTCCGTCTTATATGTAACAGATCACACAAACACAAACGTAAATCGAATACTAAAACCGTAATTAATACTCAATAAGAATCAATAATTCAATTTACTTTAACTAAATATAAATAAAATTTTGACTCGACTACGAATCGTCCGTGCAAATCGGTGTATAAAGCATAAACTTCAAGAAAACTATTTTTCAATGCAGAAATAACTAAATTTCTATACAACAGCAATGTAATTCAAAATGTAAATAAGATAGTATGAACAATTTCTTCGGAGTAACACAAGAAATTTAACTTATAGACGTAGATATCTGTTTCGGACTAGGTCCCGGTAACTTCAAAACCTCATTTACAACGCAACGGTAACTAGTATCTTCGTATAACGATAAAAAAATTGCAAAAAATCGCTCTTACAACTAAATTGGCCTTCGTTTTATAATTAGCTTGGCTTAACTAACTTCAAATTTCATTTTATACCTAAGACGCTAATTAATTTTACACTTAAATGGGAAAATAAGTCAACTAATTCAAAATTAACAGTTAAAATAGAAACCTTGTCCGCTAATTGAAAATCTTACACTTGGCTGTACTATCCTAATGAGTCTAGATTAATGGAAACAAAATGAGGTATTTAATAGCAAATTGAATTTATCATTATACCCTAATTCGATTGGCAATTGGATTTTTACAATACCTGCGTCGATCCCATAGAAATTGTCTTGACTCAGTATTCCCCTAGGTCAAAGTTTGTATTTGTGGTATATGAAGTTGCAGGACAGTGGACAGTGGTAAATTTGTATATAGATTTCTCTGTATTGGTACAGACGAGTAATAACAATAACACCACATACATTATATTTAGGTAAATGGAAATCAATCGTAATAATGTGACAGACGGACACGCTTCGAAAACAATCGTACGCGCATTTTCTATATATGCACCTTGACGTTCCGCCCAGATTGAAAAGACACGACGTCAGCCTTCCTGATGTCAAGATGCGTCTTTGTTGAATAACAGATTAATTACGTTCGAGATAAAAGTTCAGTGCGACTTGAGGCACGCGTAGATTTTTTTTTCGGCCGCATATACCTTTTCTATTTTCAGTTTGCGCGAATCTTTATTGAATCCCTTGGAAATGTTTGCGTAATGTTAGGAATATTTAGCAATCTTTCCTCAGTTTTCCAGTGATCGCAAAGAGTTTGCCACAGGTGAGCATTTTAGAACTGCGTTTTCCCATTTTCGAGATTTAATACAAGCGTTTCTCGAATTATTCCGCAAATTAGGTCGCATGGGCGAAATTACGATGCGAAACTGAATTTCTAACTAGCTACGGGACCCATTAACCTGCGTCTATCTCGTCTCATCAAAGTACGTCGTATAAGCATCATTATACTATATACGTCCTGCTCCGTTGTTCTCGTACACCTCATAACATAAACGTTTAATTCATTTTCATAAACTAATTTTGCCAATTTGTGTTCCTGGCACGCCATCAATTTTAATCGAGTATCGCATTTCTGACGGAAGCTTCTGCCACTGATTGACAAGATTACGATACACAAATTTTCGGCAGCAGTCACTGTTGGTTTAAATATTTACGTTGAAACATCAACAATGAGCGTTTAGTTGAAAATAAATGTCCGAGATAAATAAACTTCAGAAAAAAAAAACAGATGGAGCCAGCAGTTGTTCCTTATTTCGACGGATGAAATAACAAAGAGTGCCAATAATATCAAACACGCGTCATTAAACCCTATAGTTATTAAAGATAAGGCGATTTATGGTGTAACTGTACAATAATAAAAGTTTTGGGTTTTCTTTGTGTGAAAAACCATCTCCGTAGCGCCTTTTATGCGCACTTAAGGAACCCTCTTGACTGTTAGCGCAATTTGTAAAATGAATTCAGCAATGTACGCATTGATCCGTGTGAAGTTAGCAATAGATATTGCATGCGTATGGATTAATTCTCTTTAAGAATTTTTGAACATTAGATACACAATTATCATTACACCCTGTATATTTAAAATTGCAGTCGATCGAAGTAAAACAACAAATTTACCGCAACCAAATGGCCCACCTCGTAAATATCCCGCACAAATTCAAAGTTACCGCCACAAAATGGCGCAGCCAATCACAAGTGATCATTACGCTCCGTATGTTTAATTTCAAATGTATCGACACACACGATTCAACTTGATCTCATCGGAACAAAATGGCCGATCTATTATTGGCACAGGTGCAAAAACCCCATCACAAATACACAATTATATAATTACACCCTGTATATTCAAAATGGCAGTCGATCGCAGTAAAACAACAAATTTACCGTAACCAAATGGCCCACCTCGTAAATCTCCCGCACAAATTCAAAGTTACCGCCACAAAATGGCGCAGCCAATCACAAGTGATCATTACGCTCCGTATGTTTAATTTCAAATATATCGACACACACGATTCAATTTGGTCTCATCGGAACAAAATGGCCGATCTAT